ATGAAAACAAATCTGGCGTGTGGGATGTTTGTGTTTCGAGTGGTGTAAGCGGAGCTGAACAGATCCAGGGTTGCTTTTTTTTACAGCGAGAATCGGCGCGCGAGCTCAGCGCTTCCTGGTGGATCCTTCTGCGACCCGGCTGGGCAGATGTCCCGAGGAAGCCGGGGAAACCCTTTTGAAATAAAGCCACAATAAAACAATGATTTAAGGATTCTCTGCGGGCTGCCTTGCGCAAAGCATTCGCTGTCACAGGTTCGGGACGCTTTCATAAACACCGAGGCCAGGCTGGATGGGGCTTTGGGCAACCTGGTGTAGTGGAGGGGGTCCCTGCCCATGGCAAGGGGGTTGGAACTGGATGATCTTTGAGGTCCCTTCCAACCCAAACCATTCCATGATGCGATGATTCTGTGCTTGTTTTAATAAGATGAACTCATTCAGTAAGGATGTAGGTTAAAGGTCCCTGTATATGGACATTCGCCACCTTTCCTTATTATCCCTGTTTTCCGCCACGGTGGGATTTCTCTTTACAAAGCTCGCTGGGGGCAAAAATCAATGCGAGAGAAGTAGCAACTGAGTCTTGTGTTGTTGAAATCTGCGTTATTTTGAAAATACGTGAGCCTTGCCTTTTGAATGAGAAGTCCAGGGTAGAAGGAAACGTAAGCGCCGCGTGCAGACAGCCCAGATTGGGATGAAACTACAAGATCAAGTGCTGTAGCTAGACATTGCCTCTTCCCGTGCTCCTTGTCGGTCTCGGCATGGTGCGGGTGAGGTGGCTGCCCAGAAGGCTTTTGAAAAGGTTTTTCAAGTATTTCTGTGGTATTTCGTGTGAAGGTGAAGATCTACATCAGAGCTCTTGGGTGTTAAAAACAAAACAAAAAAGCCAAAGTGGTTGTGTAAGTGTGGGGACAATCTTGTAGCTGCCGCCTGCTCCTCTCAGTTTGGAAGGGTTCTGACCAAGAACAGATTTTGGGCAAATCTTTCAGGTTATGGGCATTGTCTGAATCTAAACCGTGATTTAGTACTTTTATACATTATGCTGATTTTTGTGCTTCTCAAATACTTGGTTACTGTTCAAGTTTGGTTGGTTTTGACCTGTGTCTGCAGGTTTAAAGTCTGTGATTCAAGATAGTGATCGCTGTTTAAGGCAAACTAGCCCGAGCTGAACGGCTGCGTGTCGGAGCAGCGGAGGTGGAGTCGGTCACGCTGGGTGTTGGCATTTCACTTGTTGAATACGTGGAGTTTGTCCAAGCAGCAGCCCGGGTGCTTTCAGTTGGCTGTAGTGAGTATGTGTGATTCTTGAGGTCCCTTATTTCAAACTTTCTCCCATCGGTATTCAGTGGAAACTGGGAAGCACCTGAGCTTCCCCTGCGCAGTCCTGATGCGTGCCTGACCCTGGCTGAAAGCAGCCTGCGGGAGATCAAGCTAGGAGAAATCCAAGATCCCTGCCTTTCCGGGCCGTGAGCATCCCAGACTGCCAACTCTGCGTGGGAGGATGCTCAAACCGTTGCTTTAGGTACCCGGAGCTCGCTGAAAGGGAACGGGGCTGTTGAAGAGAACTCAACTTTTAAAGTTTGTGTGAAACTTTTTTGTGACTGAATACATTTCAAATTAGCGTATTCCCTTCACCCGCTGGAAATTACTGTGAGGAGTGAGCAGAAGTTGCAAGTTCCTTTAACGGTAGGAGCGAAAATGTTTGCTGTAAGAAATTGCAGCAGGTTTTTTTGAAAGCTCCCTCCAGTGCTGCTCTGCCTCCTGCTCCCAGCCGCCCCAGATTAGTTCCAGCTGACCCAGCAGCCGGGCTGCACGCTCCGTGCTGTGCAGCAGTGCTGCTGTACAGGCGTTTTGATCTCCAGATGTGCATCTAAGGACAGGGTGCTGTACCCTCTGCTGCCTGCATCCATCGTACGTTAACCTAAACGAAGAGGCAAGGCATTCAGGCTTACCAGTTGAAGCAGATTTTGATATTTTCAGAGAGCAGCTTGATATCTGTACATTTTAAGTCTTTCAAGCTGTTTGATGTTACGAAGTCGTGTTGATTTGCAGCTGTGTAGTCTTGGTGCTGGATTTGGAGCTCCTGTTATCTGAACTAGGAGATGTAAGCAATTCTGTACGTTAATGGACATCAAAGTTCTCAAATACTGTGTTTTGTATCATTAGGAAAAGGTGAATAGTGTTTCTTGATCACTAGATGATTCATTTTTACTTCTAAGTTGTGAAGCTACTTTGAAATGAAGACTGGAATCCAAATGAAAATGCAGAAAACAAAAATATTGACTTTTTTATTAAAAACAATGGCAAATATGCAGAATATGAAACAGGAGATTTTTTTTTATTAAAAGTGGACTTATTTGTTGTTGTTGAACTTGTTGTTCAGGGGTTGAGAACTATCAGATCTTTCTCTGACTTTACTTGATTCCTAGATCACAGACTTTCCAATTCCTAATGAGTTTCTCCGTTGCACTTACTCAGCTGAAATGCAGCAAATGGCCTCTGTGCCGTCACGGAGCAGCACGAGGGAGCAGAAACTGTTTGGTCAAGACTGGGCTTGTGTGTGGAGACAGAATCTCTTTTTAAACCAGCCTGCCTAGTTGAAAGGGTTGGGGAAGTTTTGGGGCAGGCAGGCCCTTCGTTGGTTTCGGAACAGGAGCAGCAGACTTTGAAGCTTTATAAAAAATAACGACGAATTGTTATTATTTAATCATGATGTTGCTCCAAAATACTTTGGCATTTGCTTCTTCAGTTCAGTGGTTTGACTTTCTTCAAAACTTAAACACTAAGTGTGATCTTGAGAGCATGCTCTGGAGAGATCCTGTCTAGTTCAGAGAAACCTTTTATCTGCTCGGGAATGCTCTGCTAAAATTGTGTTTTCATTCCACCTGTGAGGCCTTCAATCCTCTGCATGTGAATATCAGGCAAATTAAATTAGCTTTTCCCTAATATGCTGCTAACAAGTGAAATTTACGTTACTTGAATTGACATAAAGTTTCTTTGTGCTTCTACTTGAGAACAACAAATCATACGTGATCTGCTGGGCTTTTCCTCCCCTTTCTTTTAAAACCCTTCATAAAATCTCAAGTTAACTTTAGCTTTTTCCTTTACCCCTTTCACGCTAGTCATTTACAATTTATGTAATACTCACTCCAGACTGTGTTAAAAGGCAGTTTTTCCTTTCATATCTGTCTTTTGCACTCCCTAATCCCTTCAAATCTTGCCTTAAATATCAGCTTTCCTTTCTTGCTTTGTTTTCAGTCGGCGTGGCTTGAGGTCTGGCTCCAGCCTGGCAGCAGTGTTCGCCCACGAACACTTTCCATGCCTTAGTTGAGAGCACGAGTGTTCTTAGAATCATAGAACGGTTTGGGTTGGAAGGGAACTCAAAGACCATCCAGTTCCAATCCCCCTGCCATGGGCAGGGACACCCTCCACTACACCAGGTTGCTCAAAGCCTCATCCACCCTGGTCTGGACCACTTCCAGGGATGGGGCAGCCACAACTTCTCTGGGCAACCTGGTCCAGTGTTCTCGGTTTTCTCATAGTTTGTAGCACGAGTGAGTCCTGAAATGCTGCCTGTTTGGCGTTGAAGTCAACGGAAGGGGGGAATCCGCTCAGGATAAAGCTGCTTTGCAAGTGGTGGACTCTTCCGTTTGCGTTCAGTGAATTTGGGAAGTGTTTGGGAAGCTTGCTCAACCTTCTCCGGTGCTTTCGTTACCACCTCCTTTTCTAGCGATTCATCAGGAAGCGTGGCTTTTGGAAGGGCGATCCTGACCGTGCGTAGCCATGGCTGGAAAAGAGCAAAGGCAGGATTTTGTGGTGTGTATCAGTGTGACTCGTGTTTGCACACACGTTTCCGCCGCTCAGCCCTGCTCTGTTCGGTCCCCATCTGTGCAGCAGCACACGGCAGCGGCGTTAATCGGAACGCCGCGCGCGGAAGCGGCGTTTCCATCCCGCCTGGTGATGTGTTTGAGCATGATAGCACCCGAGCCGTGTCGTGACACAACCAAACCCTCTTTGTATGGATTTGGACAAAAGGGTTAGAAACACGAGCCTGGGTCGTTACCGGACAAGCTAAAACTAGTCATCCAGGATTTAATTTACAGTATTCCAAAGATTTGAGAACCCTAAGAAAGCAGCAAAATCATTTCCCACTGTACCATGTGGCTAAGAAGTACATAATAATGCTGTAACTGGGTCTTTGTGTTCAGTTGAATTGATCATTTATAGGTAGAAAGCTGGACTTCAGAGTTGGGGGAGTAAAAGTGCCCTCGATACGCTTTCTGTGTTAAAGGCCCAAGATCGCATTCCCTGTTCTCCGTAATCCTGGTTCAAAACGCCGGGGTGAGCAGCCTCAGCTGCACGGAAAGAAGTTTAAACGAAGAGAGGTTGTTATGTGAGTGTTTGTATTGATCTTTAATTTGCCTCAGTGAAGCAAAACTCCAAAGCAGGCTCTTTCTCTGCTCAGGCATCTTGCAAACCAGGTCTGCTGAGCTGGTGTTTTTTTTTTGGAAGGGATGCAGTAATCTTTTATTTTCTTTTTTTACTCTCTTTCCCCTCCCCCTGCTCCTTCTTGAACAGGAAACCTCCATTTTAGAGGAGTACAACATTAACTGGACTCAGAAGCTGGGAGCTGGGATCAGTGGTCCTGTTAGGTAAGACATCACGCCTGCGGATTTGTGCGTAACCTCGGCCCGTTTCGTTAGCTGTGGAGAAGTGAGTATGTGTTTTAATTGCCGTGTGATACCTGGAAGACTCGTTATAAACAAATAAACGTCTCTGCACACCGTGAGGGTTGTAGCTGATGTGTGAGAGAGGTATTGTCTTTTATGGAATACGCCTGAAGCAGAAGCTCCCCTCCCCTCTCTGCCTGGTGCCGTCTCACTGCCGTATTCCCGAAGAGGAGCAGGGACAGGGCTCACAGGAGTCGACTGTGAAACGGCGACAGCAGAAAATCCTGCTCCAGCACCTTTGTCCTTTCGATGCCAGCGTCAGTACGGCGCAGAGGCCGCTGCTCCCGCTGCAGTGTCACCCCCTGGGGGGGCAGCAGCACCGTGTGCCCCTTTGCTTTTTTACCGGCTGTTTTTTTGTTCACATCATCATGTGAGGCCAAAGCGGATGGTGCCACGAGCTCCGCGTCCCGTGCCACACACTCGCCCGCCGGGAATTTCTAACCCCTGCAGGAGCTGGGTGCTTGCTGTAAAGCACAACGTGGGTCCCCTTTTCCACGAGAACTCTCCCTTTTGGGAGCGGGAATTCGCACAAGTGCTGGAAAACACACGTCTGTGCCTCTGCGTTTCCAACAGCGCGATTGTCTTTTGCCACCATTTATCTTCCTGCCCAGGCCATTGGTTTCTCCTCATTCATCTGCTGCTGCTGTGTTGCCTCTGATCTTTATTAAAATGCCCCTTTGTTTTTTTTATTCTTTTAGCTGCCCCTGAATAGGTGGGCCCTTCCCTCTGACGCAGTTCCATTGTTAATGTTAAATGGGGGAAAGAGAGAAAAAACGTGTGCAGCACAGTTGGCGGCCGTGCTAGAACAAGGGTTTCCTTTCAAAAACACTTTATTTATCGCTGGCTGCACCCTCCGTTGGAGATATTCAGGCTGCTGCTGTGTTGTCTGGGTTTTTTCCTTAAAGCATCTCTTCAGGTTGAATGTCTAGAGTACGTTCTGCCTGCCTGCGGTTTCCCGTTGCTCTGAAGTACTTTTTCTGCGTTTCTCAGAATATAACTTTGTGTGAGGTGTTTCTACATGACCTATTCCATTGTCGTGGAAGGCTGAAAACTGAGGCTTTCAAGCTGGGACGTGGTGCCCAGATTGTGGGCATTC